AAAAAAAAAAAAAAAAAAAAAAAAAAAAAAAAAAAAAAAAAAAAAAAAAAAAAAAAAAACTTATAAACTTTTAAAAGAAACATTAAAAGATTTAAAGATAATCTATAAGATGTTGATAGACGCTTAAAAGATTCTAGAGTATCCTCAGATTTAGGTATTGTTCCTCCAATCTTCGTAGTACCAAGTACTTCTTGCCGAGCTCTAATATAATCAGATTTATAAGTAAGCATCTCTTGTAAAATATGAGACGGCGGTCAACCATCCACTCTCGAGATTCATATGGATCATATATTCCGCGGAATATTGTTCTTGCCAAGGTTGTATATCTTTTTTCAGCCTACTCAAGTCCAATTACGTAAATCAATAGTTCAAACCGCACTCAAAAGTAGGGCATACGGATCATGCACTGGATCCATCCGCCCCGGAATCCAATTGAACCTTCCTCTCCACTTACTCATAACAAGCTTTCCCTCGATAGAAGATGGATTCCGAATGACATAATTGTGCGATTTCTTACTCGATCTTCAAAGAAGACTAACTTCTTGTTTATATATTGACGGTAATAATTTTTTTTATAAAGGTAAATAGTGATATTGTTACTTTTAAAAATTTAGAGGTATTTTTTTAAGCTTAAGATCTAATGGGTAAAGATATTTTCAAACTTTTTAAAAAATAAAAAAAATATTAATGAAACTTTTTAAAATTTACGAATATTATTACTATTTTTTAAATAAAAGTACAGGGTACTTTCTTTTATTAATTTAGCTCAAAATATACGTTAAAAATTAATTGATATAATTAAAAAAATAAAAGAAAATAAAAGGATTAAATTAAAAAAAATTAAAAAATTATAATATATATATATAAAAAAAAATAAACTAAATAAGAACAAATATTAAGCAAAAAAGGGAAAAAAAATATGTTTTAACAAAAAATTTCATAAATTATTTCAATAAAAAACCAGGGGCCTTCCCGCCACTTCACATGCACGCTGACGTAATCCATCCCCTCGCGGCATCTTCTAAGACAATTGAATCCTCGTTCAAATCTGGACCGTCCCATCACTCATCCATCCAACGGCCACGATTACGATCCGCGTACCTCAATTTTATTGGCTTATCTCACGAGACCTATCTCACTATATATACCAAATACTGTCTCCTTCCTTATCGTGATTATTTATTGCTCACTCTCTCTCTCTCGCGACCTCGCCGGAAAATTGCTTCCCATTTTCTCTTCAATTCTTTCGTTCTTCTTCACCGTCCAACAGATCTCAACTAATGGCCGGTAGAGGCAAAACCCTAGGATCCGGTGCCGCTAAAAAGGCCACCTCAAGGAGTAGTAAAGCCGGGTTGCAGTTTCCCGTCGGTCGGATTGCTCGTTTTCTCAAAGCCGGCAAGTACGCCGAACGTGTTGGTGCCGGTGCTCCGGTTTACCTCGCTGCCGTCCTCGAATACCTCGCCGCTGAGGTATGATATTTTGGAACTTTTTCCTTTTCTTTTGGTTTCTGTCGCTGTGAGGGTTTTGTGAAATTGAGCACGCCTTATGGATCTAGGGTTTCGAATTTTCCCCCAATTCGTGTCCTATTTCTTAATTCCTTCATAGGCGTTTGAGAATTAGATTGATTTTCTTGCTTTTGAGATTAACTCGAAGGATTCTTGATGTTTAGGTTTTGGAGCTCGCTGGAAACGCTGCTAGAGATAACAAGAAAACGCGTATTGTTCCTCGTCACATTCAGCTCGCTGTACGTAACGATGAGGAGCTCAGCAAGCTTTTGGGCGATGTGACTATTGCTAATGGCGGCGTTATGCCCAACATTCACAATCTTCTTCTACCCAAGAAAACAGGGACTTCATCTAAGAACGCTGGTGGTGATGATGAACCCTAAATTTGTCTGTAGTAGGAACAGATGAACTGAATCATTGAATGCTCTGATGAAATTTGGCTCCGGTCATGACAGTGCTCTCTCTTGCTCTTAGATTTTTCAATTTCCCCCCTTTGACATTATTTTTCTTAGATTACGGATCTTTGCTTATGAAATTTGTAACAGTTCAAGGAGTAGTGCTAGAACTTCTTTAGTGTTGTGAATATCATCATCATCATCATCATCTATTAATATCACCTCCTACTTGTTCTTCATACATGATCATGGAAATCTTGAACTTTGGTTGCCATATTTAGTGTAGAACCCTTCTTTAATATTGAGCTTTTGGGGCTCTCATGACATCAAAAAGGAAGATATATAACTGATAATCTTACACAATCTATATATACAAACTATGGTGAATAATGCTCCAACTGCCAAAAACTTCAAAACTAGATGTTTTTTTTTACAGAAAAACAAAGGTGATAAAACGTCAAGAATTCTAAGTGTGCTCTGGGCACATTGGCAATTCATGGAGCTTCTTCATATTGCTAAAGAATTTGCCTATGTCCAAAATGGAGCCTAACAATTCAGAGAGCTGGGCACCTTTTCAATGGCTGATAAGATAACCTATGGACTTTCATCATCTGAACTTGAACTTGAGCTACCCATCCGACGATCAGTAATTGCAGGGAAAATCAGCTGGTTTAGATTGGGAGGTGGGTGGCGTGGATCAGAAACTGGAGCTGAAGGGGGTTGGTTGGTATAAGAAGATGATGGGGGAGGAGGTGGGTGGGGTGGACCAGAAACTGGAGCTGAAGGGGGTTGATTGGTATCAGAAGACGATGATGGGGGAGGAGGTGGGTGGCGTGGATCAGAAACTGGAGCTGAAGGGGGCTGATTGGTATCAGAAGACGATGATGGGGGAGGTGGGTGGCGTGGATAAGAAATTGGAGCTGAAGGGGGTTGGTTGGTATAAGAAGACGATGATGGGGGAGGAGGTGGGTGGGGTGGACCAGAAGCTGGAGCTGAAGGGGGTTGATTGATATCAGAAGACGATGATGGGGGAGGAGGTGGGTGGCGTGGATCAGAAACTGGAGCTGAAGGGGGTTGATTGGCATCAGGAGACGAGGACGGGGGTGGATTGGTGTCTTGAGACGACGACATGGGTGGATTGGTGTCTTGAGACAACGACGTGGTTTGATTGGTGTCTTGAGACGACGACGTGGTTTGATTGGTGTCTTGAGACGAGGACGTGGGTTGATTGGTATCGGAAGACGAGGACGGGGGTTGATTGGTATCGGAAGACGAGGACGGGGGTTGATTGGTATCGGAAGACGAGGATGGGGGTTGATTGGTATCAGGAGACGACGACGTGGTTTGATTGGTGTCTTGAGACGTCGACGTGGTTTGATTGGTGTCTTGAGACGAGGACGGGGGTTGATTGGTATCGGAAGACGAGGACGGGGGTTGATTGGTATCGGAAGACGGAAGGGAGGGATTGATATCAGAAGAAGATGCTGCCTTTCTGTGTCCCTTCGCCTGCTTTGCCTGTTTTTTCTGTGCATCCTTTATCTCCCGGCATGTCTTATCTATCATTATCAAGAAATCTCGCACTATTACAAACAACCTTAAGCCCTCATCCTTCCCAGCATTTCCATGGAAGTAATCACCCGTGCTTTTCACCATTTCCATGATCTTTTTTTCTTCTGCCAAGAGAGCCATGATAGTAACCTCAGCATTCTGCACAAAGCTTTTCAGTGTCTGATGAAATCTACTTTCTTCACCTAGATTCTCCATGTCTTTGTTCAAAAAGTCTCTTGAACTCAACAGTCCATGGCCAAGTTTAGAAACGGTACCAGTCAAGGCATCGGCATCTATGGTCGCTGCTTTCTTCACATTCTGAAGTTCGCCGCTCAACCCCGACACGACCTCAAGACCCAAGTTACGGAAATGCTCGTCTGGATCGTGAGTAGTTCCATCCAGCATCTCCTTTGATGAGGTGCTTGAGAAGCTTTGGCTTCCAGTGGCATTCCTGGCAGCTCTTATCCCTTCTGTGCGGATTATCTCCTGAACTACAAAGTGTAATAGTGTAGTCTTCCCATCTTTTCCTTTCACATCTGACAATTTTAAGAGAGTGTCCAATTTGAATGCTTGCGCGCCACCTCGAAAAGTTCCATCGTTCATCCGATTACCCGTCTTAAGAACAGCTTCTAGCAGTTTGAGGAACAGCCTGCTGCTCTTAAGTTCCTTGCAAGCGATCTGTCCAGTTATGATGTAAAGTCGATACCAATCCAAAGTTAGTCAGGAAGTCCAGGGACGGAGGAGAAACAAACTCGTTCGATACTAATATTGACCTAACAATGATATTGAGAGTTCTAAGCACTAAAAAGTAATAGTGGCAAATGTTGTACCTCCAGGTTAACAAAGGACTCTTTAGTGATGGCGATGTCCTCCTGAATAGTGCTCATGAATAGCAGAGATTCCATCCTTTTGAAAGCAAATGGGATATCGACTATCGTTTTAAGGAACCGCTCGGCATTTCCGAGTTGAGAAGTCTCCCCACTGAACAGTCTAAGCTTGAGTTCTTCTTCTGGTGTTGGTGCCATCCTCAGTAAGTTCTCAAGAAGTTCAGCAGGAAGATCAGTTCCTGATACAGGTTAGAATATGATCAAGACCATATCATGAGAATATAAGATGCGCAATCAAAAAAAATTATGCATGCCACTGGGAAAATGGCTGCTGAAAACAGGCAGATAAGTAAGATAGATATGTTATGTAGATTACAGGGGCACCTTCCTTTTTACCGTCTGTAAGATTTTCTTCCCGCCACACGGTGTTCAATAACAATGACACGTGTAATAATTCCTACCGTAACAGAAATGGCACCACGAAACTAATTAGTAAATTTGTAACAGCCGAAACCTACTACTAGTAGATATTATCGTTTTTGGATTTTCTGTTTCAGACTTTCTCTCAAGGTTTTTAAAACGCGTCGGCTAGGAAGAGTTTTACTCTTATAAAGGGTGTTTCATTCTCCTCCCCAACCAATGTGGGATCTCATAATCCACCCCCTTCGGGGGCTAGCATCCTCGTTGGCACTCGTTCCCTTCTCTAATCGATGTGAGACCCCTCAATCCACCCCCTTTGGGTCTCATCCTCCTCGCTGGCACATCACCTGATGTCTAGTTCTGATACTATTTGTAACAGCCCAAGTCCACTGCTAGCAGATATCGTTCTCTTTAGGCTTTCTAGTTTTTAAAACGTGTTTGCTAGGGAGAGGTTTTCACACCCTTATAAAAAGTGTTTCGTTCTCCTTCCCAACCAACGTGGGATCTCACAAAATTGATTCTCAACCCAAGTCTAGGAGTATTGTGAGTATTGTCTTAGGTATGCCAGCTTTCTTGTTTTTGCATCATTCAATGAGCTAGAGATGAGAGGCTCCTATAATTTATAGGCTCAATAGGCTCAAGAAGTCAATATCAGGTAAGATTACCTTCATGAAGTGCATCACAAACTTCTTCTCTTGTCACATTCAGTGCTCGTAAAAGAATGGACAGATTTTGCGCTTTCTTTGCATCAATGATCTGAATGAACTGCTGTACAGGATCTTTTGATGATGGCTCCTTCTTACCATCAGTTTTGTTTTTATCTGCTGGTGCATATCCAAAAAGAGTTTCTATCATCTCCTCGTTGAATCTGTATGAATTAGATTAAATGCTTTCAGCAACTTGTAAAACTATTTAAAAGCAATGGTGGTGCAAAAGGAGTGAAACTTATAATAACATACTGGAAAGACCCTGCTTTTATCTGATGCCAGACCATGGTATTATCTGGGTTTGCAAGAACTTTGTCCCAGAAAAACGGTTTCAATTTGGCTTTGGGGACACCCGAATCTTCCATACCATTATCACCACCTAAAGCAGAACCCCTTGGAGGTCGAGGTGCATTTCCACCTTTGGGTGCAAATGGCGGTGGCCGAGGAGCATTACCACTTCCGGGAGGTGGTGGTGGGCGAGGGCCTGCCCTGTTGGCTCCAGGTGGTGGAGGTGGAGGAGGTCCAGAAGGGCGACCTGAATTTCCAGGAGGTACAGGAGGGACAGCTGAATTTCCAGGAGGTACAGGAGGGAGACCTGAACTTCCAGGAGGTACAGGAGGAAGACCTGAATTTCCAGGAGGTACAGGAGGAAGACCTGAACTTCCAGGAGGTACAGGAGGAAGACCTGAATTTCCAGGAGGTCCGGGAGGGTGACCTGAATCTCCAGGAAGTTCTGGTGGTGGTGCAGGTGGTGGAGGCGGAGGAGGAGTAGCCATGCTGGATGGAGGCTTAAAAGACTTGGGGCGTTCAGGAGGCAGGGGAACAGCCCTGCCAGGAGGAGGCTTCAGAGGAGGCATAATCTCTGAGTTGACTGGCACTGCTCCAGGAGGAGGTGGCAGCAAATTATTAGAACTCCCAGCCAAATTCACTGATCCAAAAGATGAATTATTGACAATTCCAGCAGCTTCAAAAGATGGAGGCCCCTGCATCGAAATACGTGCACCATCAGAGACAAGCTGCAGGCTACCATCCAAAGATGGAGCTCTCTGGTGTTGACTCAAGCTAGATGCTTGATTCATGTACTTGTCTTCCTTAAAAGAATTCCCGAAGGCAGAAAAATTTGGTGAAGAATCTGAAAGGTCATGGAAAAACGTTAAGATAAACTAAAATAGAGTTTCAAAACAAGCTTGTAAGAACACAGAATAGAGTAGTACTCACTTATGCTCAAGCTTAGGAGAGGCCTTGCATGATTTTCATCATTTTGCTTCATTCTGGAGCTAATACTATTATAGCATATAAAGAGCAGAGCTACAATAATAAAAGTCACTGTTGCTGTTACAACAACAGCAATGATAATTGTTTGTTGATGATCAGATTTCTTTTCTTTTTGACTACTTGTGCTAGAAAGTTTTATTGAAAGATGTTCGAGATCTGAAGATTTCGACACTTCTTTAGCACTTCGATGCCATCTGGAACTTAACTTCCTTCTAAAACTACCAGGCATCAAAAACAATGACTCCAGGTATGTGGGGTACCAAGCTTTAGAATTGTAGTCGTTTCCAGAAACGTGAAAATTCTTTCTTAAACAATCTAAAAGAGTTTGCTTCATCTGGGGATGCATGGCGCTTAGCATTCTGTTTGTTTTTCCTTTCGTCAGCACCTGACATTCAAAATTAATACCATTTGTGCTATCGGGTCTTTCTTCAAAGCACAATTCAGTACCATCTGCAGCTTCCTTTAACTGAAGCAAATCCAAGTTGCATTTAAACAGTAACAGCTCAGCCTGCAGCAATGTTTTGAATTTAAAATAAGTAAACCTCAGCTTAGGATGTGTGCAGATCTTAAGCCACTAATAAACCAAGAGACTGAAGACAGAAATAAACAAAAGTGTGAGGTACATATTTTTCTAACCTAGCAGTTGGGAATAACTATTTTGTTTTTAATTTTTTTTTGCTTCTAAAACGTATGTGGTAGGGTTGAAGACTGCTCCGAAAAGGTGGAAAACAAAACGATAATATCATCAGTACACAACTTTCGAAGATATAAAGCCAGAAAGAAATTAATAATTAAGGGTATGAATGCATATGTGAGATCCCACATTGGTTGGGGAGGAGAAAACCTTGAAGGGAAGTCCGAAAAGGAAAGCCCAAAGAAGACAATATCTGCTAGCGCTGGGCTTGGTCCGTTATAAATGGTATCAGAGCTAGACACCGGGCAAGGGGCCGAGCCTCGAAGAGGGGTGGACATGAAGTGGTGTGTCTGCAAGGATGTTGGGCCTCGAAAGGGAGGATTGGGGAGTCCCACATCGATTAGAGAAGGGAACGAGTGTCAGAAAGGACGCTAGGCCCCGAAGGGGATGGATTGTGAGATCTCACATTGGTTGGGAGGAGAACGAAACATTCTTTATAAGGGTGTAGAAACCTCTTTCTAGCAGACGTGTTTTAAAAACCTTGAAGGAAAACCCGAAAGGGAAAGCTCAAAGAAGACAATATCGACTAGTGGTTGGCTTGGAAATTCCTATCACTAATCACCAGACCCCAAGATAATTTCCTTCACATTATGCTCTACTCACTTATTGGGCTTATTAAATATAACACAAACATGGTGAAGAACAAACATAAGATCAATTATCTCCAAAACTAAACATAATTGCTGCACTTAATCAGTCTAAATAACATTCTAGAGTTGCAAGATCATATACTTTAAGCAAGGCTGCCTTTGAATCTGTCATTAACAGTTAAGGAACACAAAGGTTTAAGACAGATGAAGCTGAAATACGAACTAAAATTTGTTGTTCTAAAGAACATAAAAAGATATTAGTCTCATTCATATCATAAGCATAATTGCTCACCATCTCTGTGTCGATATCCCCAGTAATTGGGTCAGCTAGTTGACTCAGAATCAGCTCCTCTTCCTCGTGATCCTTCAAGCAAGTTGCTAAAGAAACACAGACAAGAATCACCAGAACAACCAAACATCTCCTTTTTGCAACACCCATAAGTTGTGGAAATGTCATTATAAAAGCATAATATCCTCACATTTTCATCTCTCCCCAACCCTAACTAAGATAACTCATCCAAACAATTCCAACCTTCAACAAAATCACCTCAAACTTTCAGAAACACGAATCCACGAAATCGCAGAACATCAAAACAAGAATTCCTGATTAAAAAAAAAAAAAAAAAAAAAAATCGCAAAACAGAGCTCGACGATGATCGATTCCAATCATTTATTCCAGAAACAATAGGATAACGCAAGCAGCCAAGGAGGCGATTCCATATTTAACGAAAAGATTGACAAAATAAGAGCGATGAAAGCCCCCTTACAAAAGACGAATCGATGATAATCAAGAGCAACAGACGCATTGGAAAGGCCTCCAATGGGACTCCGATTCTGACCAAATCCACCAAAAGAAGGTCGGAGGATTCGCCGACGCTGGAAACATTTGACCAAACGCGTTGGAAAGAAGGCGAAATTTCGTTGTTAGAGAGTTCTTTTGAACACAAGGTGCGGAAAACGAGACCACATTCAACGGTGGTATTGATTTTATTCAATTCGTTTTCTCTAAAACTTCTCAATCTAAATTCGTGGAGATTGCAAATCAGACATTTCCATTTCCTTCCTGAAAATTCTTCAACTAAATTTTGCCATTAAATCCACTTTTTTATTTTAAATTTTTATATTTGAATTACAGTTAAACTATAATGGATAGGACACTAGATATTATGAGTCGATATACTTGCTTTTTGATGAAATTTTTTATTTATTTCTTATCATGTTTTTGTACGTGTGATGTCCCACATTAGTTGGAGAGGAGAACAAACCATTATTTATAAGGATGTTAAAACCTTCCCTATTTTAAACCCTTGAACGAAAGCCCGAAAGAAAAGATCAAAAAAGACAATATTTGCTAGCATTAGATCTGAGCCATTACAGTAGATATAAGTTTTTAAATAAGATAAAGATTTGGATAATATGTTACTAAATTATAATTTAATAAGCAAATTAAAATTTATTTTTCTTCAAATTTTAAGTTTTTTTTTTTTTAATTAACAACTAAATGAATATTTTCGTCCATTTTTTTCTAATTTTTATTAATTTAAGATAAAATTTATATAACAAGAAATTTGGTAAATTTATACCAAATTAGAGATATAATTAATTTATCTTAAAAAAAATGTGAGATCAATTTATATATATATTTATTTATTTAGTTAAAAAAATATAAAAAAAAAGGAATTTATGACCTTTTTTTTTTTTTTTTTTATACACACAAATTGGTCGTTTTCTAAATTAAATTATTATTTAAAAAAATATATGAAAAAAGCCATCCACATGGAAAGGGCGTTTTCGATGTGGGCCCGCAATTTTTAAAAAGTCTCCAATTGGTCAATTTTGAATATACCGCGCCAAGGCGGAAACCGGAAACCGGAAACCGGAAACCTATTGCGTACTCCAAATTTCAACTTTATAAAATATCTTATTTATTATAATTGAATTTTCCTCGTTTCTCGTTAAAGAAAATTAAAATATCTCAAATTTATTTTTAAAAGATGATTTTTTTTTAATATACCGCGCCAAGGCGGAAACCGGAAACCGGAAACCTATTGTGCATTCGACAACCTTGGATTTTCTATCGAACACCATGAGCTTCATAATGTCGATTTTCGAACAAAATTTTAATTCAACAATTTAGAATTTTATGGGTATTTTTATTAATGGTCGATTTTTATGAAAAATAAAAGCTAAAAAAAATAAAAATAATATATTATATATATATATACCGAGACGTTCATCGATGGGGATGTAGCTCAGATGGTAGAGCGCTCGCTTAGCATGCGAGAGGTACGGGGATCGATACCCCGCATCTCCATATTCTCTCCCCTTTTTCCCCCTTTTTCCAGAAGTGGGTTTGGGCCAGATTGTCGTTCTTCGGCCCAACCATGATGCTTCCAATTTTCCTCATATTAATTTATTCTATTCCTTTATTTTATTATATCTTAAATAAATACATTATTTATTAGGATTTTTTTATTATATAAAAAAATTCTCTGAATATAATTTAATAATTAATTATTTAAATATTAATTGACTTAGTGAATTATGGTGAATTAATATCTTAAATAAATATAAAAAAGTGTAGATATTGACTTTATTTATAATTAAAGCCAATAATTTATTATAAAATATAAGAATTTAAATTTTTTTATTAAAAAAAAAACTATTTAAGAGAAATAGAAAAGACCTGCCGACCTTGTAAATTGTTTGATGGAGTCTTGGCATCTCTTTTATTTATTTATTTATTTATTTTGACATTTTCCAATTGTGACAATTTTTTTTTAAAATATTTCTACAATTATATATATAATCACAATTTTATTTTTTTATTTTACTATCATTGTCTCAGGTCAATTGTTTTTTAATTTTTCATTTTTTTTTTAAAAAAATCCATCATAATTATTTTGAAAACTCATTTCATATTATAAATTCAATAAAACCCGTCAGAAGTATCTGAAAGCTCAAGAAAACCCGTTAGAAGTATTTGAAAACTCATTCAACAACGAACAACATTTCAAACATATAAATTCAAGAAAATCCGTCATAAGTATCTGAAACTCATTCTACAGCAAAGAACAACACTTGAGACATTTCAATTCAAAAAAATTCATCATAAGTATCTGAAACTCATTCTATAGCAAAGAACAATACTTCAGACATTTAAATTCAAGAAAATTTGTCATAAGTATCCGAAATTTATTTAACAACAGCGAACAACATTTCAAATCTTATTAAGCCCTAATTATTATTAATTTAATCATCATCTTCTATCTAATCACCATTATAATGTTATAATTACCCTTTACATTATTTCATTTTATTTTTTAACGTTTATAATTGAACTGGTTAAGATATATACTATTCTCATTTATGCTCAGAAATAATTAAAAATTTACTTTAAAAATACTTTTGAACTTTCAAAGGGTTTCAACGGTTACGGTCCTACATTTTTTACCGCGACCAGCCTTAAGGGGAACTAAGCCCCATATATGTTTTTCGTCCCGACTTTGTGGCTTCGTTGAACCTTAGGTGAGGTTTGTCTTCGTTAATCGAACATCGCTTATGCGGAATCCAAGCTTATTCGACCACACACGCCACTTGCACGTGCATGTTCAATCATCTGCGACACATCTGACTTGCCTCTATACTATGCCAAGTCATTTGGCTCAATCTTGCCTCTGCTCGGGGTCAAGGTCTCTCAATGCACCATTGCGTCTCATCTTGTCATCTTGATCTCCATCGACATGGCTCATATGCCTTGACGCAATCCCGAGTTTCAGGGTGTCATTGGTCATGCCATTGAGAACAAGCCCGCATGTTGTTCATTTCATCGGGACTTCTCGAACATCCATCCATCTGGGTTCTATCGAGGCACTAGCCCTCCCGTGCCCATACCATGTTATTTACGGATACCGTGCCGAATAACGGGTGTATGTAGCAACCTCCAACATGCAGGTTGGGGCGCAATACCAACAACACACATGTGTCGTCCGGTACTATCCTTGAAAAACTCATTTCAAAGGAAGTCGTCCGAGACACCCGTCTCGACACGCTCGCCCACACTGTGCCACACGTATGTGCCACACTGTAGCTCACTTAAGCTACAGTACTCAGGAGAGGTGTTTTTTCTTATTTTTTTTAAATAAAAAAAAAACACTTTTTAAATAATTCTCATAAATTTTCAAAAATAACATTATTAAACTTTTAGAAAAAAAAAAAAATTAAAGGATATTTTTTATTTTTTTTTAGATAAAGTATAAAGTTTATAAGTATTTTTTTTTATTAATTTAGTCATATTACAATAATAACAAATATTCAAATCGAGAACTTGAATAAATGATTAATTAATACATTTAATTAATTAAATTCACATTATTTCTTTTAAAACCAATGTTATAAATTTTGAAGAAACATTGTTTTAATAATTAGCACCGACAATTAAAAAAAAAAAGGAATTAATTTTAATTTTGGAATATTAAAAAGGGCATCCATTAACATCAAAGGGAATAGGACATTAGGGATCTGTCGTTGTCTTTGTTCCTTTTGGTGAAGAAAGGTGTAGCTAATGCTTTTAAATAAGGACACAAGTCAATGTCTTTTGAGTTTCATATGTTAGTGTCGGCAGATTCAATTGTTTCAAAAAAAAAACATTTTTTTTCGGGTTATGTTCATTTCGATTGATCGTAGTTACGTGAGTATCGAAAAAAGTAGCTTGTTCTAGTGCTGGAATATGGCATAAGCAACTAAGTTAATTTACCGGAAAAACACCAAGGTTGGAGAAACACTGCTACCTACAAGAACGAATTATAATCACGTTGAATTCTCTTCCCGACCCTAATTACAGAAAAGCACGGTCTCGAAACTTTATATGACTTGCGTAACAATAGTTGGTATATTGGGTTTCAAGTGTTTGTAACTGGGACGGTTTGAAACAAAAGTTATAGACTCGTTCTTCGAGTCTATCACTTTCTGGTGTAATATTTTCTTAAAGAAAATTCTACTGTTGTAAATTTTGAATAACTTGAAAACCGATAATACATGTTAATCCTACAATATTCAGAGAATGAAGCTTCGAGAAGATATGAATATTTGACGTTTGTAGCTAGTTGTTAAATGATATTCAAATTGTCAAGTTATTCCAAATGCTCGAGCTTGTACTACAAAATCGAGTGAGAGAGAGAGAGAGAGATTATCAACTTTTGAAGATGGAGATTTGAACTTTTAATCGATATTATAATACCTAAACTAGCTGAACTATATTTTCAAGTTAACCAAATTTCAAAAGCTCGAGTATTTACAACCGAGCTATGTGATAGGGATCTTTCAAACATCTTAGTCGATGTTATGATACCTTAACTAATTGAACTATGCTCAAGTTGACAGACTCTCAATGATTTTTTTCACATCAGTAACACGTGAG